AACACAGGTGTGAGAAAACTAAGTCATGCTAGACAGCTCTAGCCAGAAAACTTAAAACAGGCAAGACACAAAATCTCATAGCAAAACAGGGCAGCCGGTCAAACATCCTAGATGCAGTACCAACAATAAAAAACCAATCGGAAATTTTCAGATGGGAGGGAGAGCAGATATGAGGATCAAAGAAGCAGCAACAAAATCCCATAAGGGGATCTTTTAAATCTGAGGAAGGAAAGAGAGCAGAGCATACCTGGCTGAAGGAGGGGAGATTTGCTGCTGGAGGAAGCCCAAACTGCACCGATGGAGGAAGCTGAGGGAGGAGATGGAAGGAAGGAAGGAGGATGTGACGACAAAGAAGAAGTACAGAGTCTTTTTTGGCTCTCTTGAAATTGTCTTATGCTCCTCAGGATGTAAGACAATTTACAGAGTCAACGGGTCCTTTACCTGTAGACCCCGTAAAATATTTTCCCCTTGGATCTCATTTTCAGTCATCCGATCACCTCTACTTCCTGAAAATATTTTCCAGAAAAGTTTTTACTTAAAAGGAAATGGACCCTTAGAGTTGCCCTCAAATCCCAAATCTCGAAAACAGGTCGGGCAAGGGGCAGGTTTGAGCAACTTAGTCTGATAGAATAACAAAGAATGAAGGCATTCACGCCTGAGTCTAGGCTACATAACAACATATGTTGCTGAACTTTAGCCATTTGAAAAGTTCCGAAAGGAAGAAGCATACAAATTAGACACATCAACTGGCTCAAGTGAAGCTTGAGCTTTCACTTGAGCTTATTCAGATGTAGATCCGTCCCCTTAACATGACACTTCTTCTTTTGATCCAAAGACTAAGGGCCAGAGCTTATAAGTTAACTCTATTTTGAAATATGGACCACACTGGCTGATTGAACTAGTTGAATTGAGACAATACTGATCATTTGAAGTGGAGATCAGTTGCTTGTCCTGTCCAAGATGCACCTTCTAAACAGACTAGTCAAGAATCATTGAAACTTGTGTTGAACTGGGTTAGACTGAATGGAATCAGTTTCAGGTCATTCAAATTGACATTTTTATATTCCAACATTTTTTTGCAAGAGGAGATTGAAACTTCTACCATTTTAATTATTGATTAATGGTCAACTCATAAAAGTTAAAGGCATACTTTTGTGAAACTTTCAACCATATTTATTATATATTTAAATAAAAAATTATATTAAAATATAATATTCTGCATCCAGTTGAAACCCCATTAAACTGGTTGAATTAGGGATTGGGCACTCAAGTGAGTTGTTTTCTGGTCTGATATGGAAACTATGTACGTTGCTCTACCATTTCGATTCCAATGGCCTTTTAACTTCCCAATTTTCAGATGCTAGTAGATCAGACATTGTTCTGTGCATAACCCTGCCTAGTATCTTGAGTGATGAGAATACCAAAGGCATGCATGCCTAACTGTAAGACACAACTCACAGAGTTTGACACCCTGTGTCCATGGTATGGTTTAACCTTCATTGTTCATGTGCTAGTAGCTCAAACCATTGTTCTTTTCAAGTAAAATGTACGCCAGGGAAAAAGATTAAGCCTGTGCGATTCTAGATACAGAAGCAGAAAATGTTTAAAAGACTTACCATAACTTCTGCATGCAACAACAATCAACTTCTTCTTTTATGCTGTGGTAAATAATCCTTTCTTGTAGGATGAATATTACACCTACTTTTAGCTGTTTTGATGTGAATGCCAAGCTATTGCATAATATGCTTGACCTTGTATTCTTCTATCTTTGCTGGTACCAACCCCAGCTTGGGAGATATTAGGAAGTTGGAGGGTGGGGGCGAGGGGAAGGAAAAGAAGTGAAGTTTCCAAATTAGGGTTTTACTTGGCTTTCTGAGATTAATTCTGGTAGTGGAGATAAACACATGCAAATATGTTAAATATGTGATCCTACATAAATGTTCTTGCATTGATGCGAGACTGTTGCCTGGAAAAAGACAAACTATCAAATTTTTTGTTGTATGGTTGAGTTTGAATTCAGTTGCTATCTCTACATATGTTGCATTTACCATCTGTTGTATCAATGTCCTCTTTAATGCTTTTCTCTTAACTTGTTTCTCTATAGTATCTGCTGATATGGCCCATGGAGTTCATCCAAATTTCATGGATAAGCATGAAGAACACCATCGGCCAGAAATGTGTAAAGGTCTTGTGATCAAGCATAATGCAAACCAGCGTTATGCTACCAGTGGAGTAACAGCTTTTCTCTTCAAAGAAGTAGCAAAAATTCATAACCTTCCTACTCAGGTGACTCCATTTCCATATTATAATCAAAGGAATTACAATTGAATCAGTTCGCTCATTGCTTGCTATACAAGTACTTATGTAGGCATTCTTTTTTCCTTTTTTGAGGTGCCTTTTTCAATGTCATGGGAATCAATTGCATGTATTTTGCTGCACAGTAGCCTGAAAGTCATTTTAAATTCTGAAGATTAACTAAGCCTCTTGATGGTCTAATTCTTCTTTCCATGTTTAAATATTACTAAAGAAATTAGAAACTTAAGTGAGGACCAGAATAGGATATAGAAAAAATCTAGCACTAACATCATCCATCTGTTTGTTTGAAAAGGAATTAAACTTAGATGTCTTATCTTATTGGTCATATGATATTTGCATATTCCTGGGCTGGCCTTTAGCTGCCCCTTCTTTCCATGTATAATGCTTACATTGCAAGATATTGCTGTAAAAAGGCTAAATGTAAAACTTACAAGTAGATCAGTGTCTTTAAAACCATCAGAGAAAAGGAGCTACGTCACATAATCATTGAGATGATTGATTGCCTTAATTTGTGATCCTTATGGCACATAGTTGCTTTCAAGTTTTTTGTGGTAAACTTTTATCAAAACCCAAAATTTCATTGTTGTCATCATTGAAATATCTGATTAGCAAAAGGATTGATTAAAGAGATTGATTTATAGAATCAAATTGGTATAATCTCACTCTAACCTTTCATGCATGAAAGTTTCTTTATTATGTTGCTTGAATACAAGAGAGTTCTTAACTCATTTTATAAGGCTTTTATTTGAGAGAGAGAGACTGCTTGACATACGATAAGCTGCTGGTTCTGCTTTTTCCTGTTTTTTATTTGGTTATTTATTTATTTTTTTGGGGGTGTGGAGGTGTGATGGGGTTGGTGGATGTAGAATAGAAGAGGTTTGACGTTTGGAGAAAGGTAGGTGGTTTTGAAATACAATATTACATGATTCACAAACAAACGTTAAAAGCTGCCCGTTCTGCTTTCGTGTGTTTTTATTTTTGTTATTTATTTATTTATTTT